TAAAGGTCAGTCAGCTTAATACACTTCTAAGAGCAAACGATTTACCACTGACGGGTACCAAGGCAATTAAGTTATCAAAACTGCAAGAGGTTCTAGGTGCCGACGAAGTAGACGCAATCGAGATTGAAGATGAAAGTTCCAGTCCTACAAGTGATCTACAAGTGCAAATCAACAGTTTAAGAGAAGCAATTGCAGGTTTAACGTCAGCTATGGCGCCGATCACCCAAAATTCAACAGCGGTACCGAATAGGGAGGAAATTCAACAAGCTGTAATCAACAACGATTTAGAGTCACCAGGGTCAAGTGTATTAACTTGGGAATCAGCTCACGATTTAAGAAGACCAATACAGCGAGATATGTCGATTCAGGATATGATAGGGATTATGCCTGAATTCGACCCAATAAAAGGTTCAACGTCAGCAACACAATTTATAACGCGAACTGAACAATTGTAACAACGCTACGGCTGGAAGAAAAACAGAGTTTTGATCGCAGTGTAACACAAAATGAAAGGCATGGCCAAACGTTGGCTGGTGCATGTAGAGTATTTTTACTCTATGCTAACCATACGTAGGCAAGGTAGGGAGGATGACGTATCTATCAACATGCACATCATCAGCGGTCTCAATGCTAGCACATTAACTAAGCCATTAGCAACGATGAATTTTACAACATGTAGTGAACTATTGGTTGCATTAAAGAATTTATCAGCAATCAGTAGTGCACCGGTAACATCAATACCACCAAACCAGCCAACGAAGACCGAAATTAAAAACAAGTACACACAAATAAAGTGCTTCAATTGCAACGAGTTGGGACACATGGCAGCTAAGTGCCCTCAACCATAACGGAAACTACGATGCGAGATATGTTCAAAAATGGGTCATGCTATAACATGCAGTAAAAAGGTATCAGTTGCAAAGATTACCAATCACCAGGAAGACGACGGGGCTCCTCCAGTTATGAAAATAGTGGAGCTTAATGGGAATAAACTTGAAGCGTTCATCGATATGGGCAGCGTATGCTGGTTGATACGGGAAACGGCAGCCAAAGGAACGCAGACTCAGGAAGCTAACAGATGCTTCATGGGTTTCGGCGGGTCTAAAGTAAAGGTGACACGTCAGTCAACGTAGTTGCAACAATCGACAACGTCAAACATGAAGTGACATTATAGCTAGTTCAGGACGAGTTAATACCCTACGATATTTTAGTGGGTCGAGACGTTCTCCAAAGTAACGGTTATCAAATGGTAAATGGAAAGGGGGTGCTACATCTACAAGAAGCTAAAAGGGTAGAAATTAACGTATCCAGCGATTTATCGGAGCAAGAACGAGACAAGGCAATGAATATTTTGCTGGCTTATAAAAATTGTTTTGCAGAAAGTATCAACCAAATCGGTAGATGCAACAACGCGCATATGACGATAAAAGTTACCGTACAAGGGCCAATTCTGGGCAAGTTCCGTTCTCACAGTGACCAATGTTATCAAAGGTTTTAAAGGAACTGCTAGACAACGACATCATCCGTCCGAGTAATTTACCACACGCATCAGTTCTCTTAGTGAAGAAGTCCAACGGCGAAAGTCGAATGTGTATTGACTACCGAGCACTCAATGAAGTCACTGTTAAGAAAAACTATGTAATGCCAATAGTCGAAGAGCAACTTTCACGGTTATCGGGCAATAAGTTCTTTTCACCACTGGACATGACATCCGGTTACTATCAAGTACCAATGAACGAAGAATCAATGAAATTCACAGCATTTTTAACACCATGGGATTGTTCGAGCATAACGTTATGCCTTTTGGGTTGGTAAACGCTCCCATGGTTTTCCAGGAAATTATTGTCAATTTAATCAAGACACTTAAGCATCGGGACAAAGTGGTCAACTATGTAGATGAGGTCATCATCTACGAGGTACTTAAAGAATTTCTTGAAGTCGTAAAAGCGTCAGATCTTACGCTTAGACCATCCAAATGTACATTTTTAGCGCAGCATGTTCGTTTCCTGGGGCATGATATAGACAGTAAAGGCATACGACCAGGGGAAATTTAAACCAAAGTAATTGAAGAGTTTCCGAAACCAACAACAACAAAAGCCGTTCGACAACTTCTGGGTATAACTGGTTACTTCCGGAAGTTTGTTAAAGGGTACAGCATTTTGGCACAACCATTGACATTGTTACTACAGAAGAACGCCAGTTTTAAATATATACGACGCAACAAAAGCCCACGAGGTGCACACGGATGCCAGTTCCGCAGGGTTATTTGGAGTGCTAATGCAGAACGACGAGGGGTCCGAGTGGAAACCACGAATTAGAAGTTCTGGCTATAGTTGAAACACTGCAACGTTACCGAATGTATTTGATTGAACATAGGTTTAAGGTGATCACGGACTGCAACGCCGTGGCGGTCACTAAAGCGACAACACCACTGCTACCGCGAGTGGCGAGGTGGTGGCTCAAATTACAGGAGTTTGACTTTCAATGCAAACGCTTCCACCAATAGAACCAACAACGATCGCCGAATCAATTTATCCCGTGGTGAAAATTGACAACGATTGGGTATCGGCGATGCAAAGACAAGACGAGACATTAAGAAATCATCGAAGTTTTAAACGGCAAAGAAGCATTTAACGCACAGCAACTGAAAGATGACTATATATGGCAAGGTCAGCGGTTATATCGCAAAGTACGGGAGAAATGGTCTGGATAAGACATGCGAACGATTATCCAAAGACTTTTGGTTTGCTCGTATGCGACCGTATGTGAAACCTATATTGCATCGTGTCCAGAATGTTGCATTAACAAGGCATCGGATGGGAAGAAGGAAGCACAGCTCCATGTTAGCGAAGTGGTGCCAATACCATTTAGATGCATACATGTTGACCATCTAGGGCCTTTTATACGAAGTAAATATGGCAATGTATACATCTTGGTCATTGTGTGTGCTTTCACGAAATATGTTATACTAAAAGCATTACGTAATACGAAAACAACTCCCGTTGTGAGTACACTACGAGATTACATTACAATCTATGGGTGCCCAAGGCAAATAGTTTCCAACAGGGGCACGGCTTTCACATCAAAGGAGTTTCAGAGCTTCACCAACAGGTATGACATCAGGCATGTCAAAGTAGCAGTGCGCACACCCCGCGCCAATGGTCAAGCCGAGCGTGTCAATAAGACAGTTCTGCATCACTCAAATGCAGCATTAAAGCCGATAAAGAATGGGACGAAGCACTACCACAACTTTAATGGAGCATAAACTCCCAAAGCAACGCAACTACGGAACAAAGCCCCAACAGCTTTGTTTTCAATTATAAGCCACGCGACGTCACAACGAATCGATTAATCCAAGCTATCACAGATGACGACGACGACGGAAAAACTCAACATGAAGACTTCCGACTTAAATCAGCGGCCGAACGAATTAACATAGAAAGGGCTAAATGGAAACAACGTTTCGACATCAAACATCATAAACCGAGACAGTATAACGAAAGAGATCTGGTAGTAATCGATTACGTACCTCCTCCAACTGGTACATCTCATAAGCTTGATCCGTCATACAAAGGTCCGTATTTGGTAACGAAGGTTTTACCCAACGATCGTTATGTGGTAGAAGATCTACCAGATATACCGAACCAGCGAAAGCGCTACGCAGGAATATTTACGAATGACAACATGAAGTCATGGTGCGCTTTGAGTATGACTGATGACGATTACGAAACAAAATGTTCATTTAAGAGCATCAACGACGACGCCCACGGAAAATCGTCCCGGAGAGACGATCCATCAGGAGTGGCCGAGCTGTCAACGGCAGATGACGAACGGTGTGGCAAGGGAGACAACGAGTAGTTAGTCGAAACGAGGCAACGAGGAAAGACAGGCAACGCAGCGGGAGTTGCCAGCATTATTCAGTTATTTTACAAATTTATACTTTAATAAACAAACTTTAAATAAATAAAATCAATATCATATTTAGTCATTTACACCTGTATATATTATTTATTGAAATTGAAAGTGGAAGATTTCTTCATCTTAACATAAAATCTTTTGATTAGTTAGAAAATGTCAGCAGCTTTTAATTTTAACATTTTGTTTGGTTACCTTAATAATAATAATGTAAGGTGCTCTTTATAAGAAATGTGTGCAAACATGAAAAAAAAAGTTTAACAAATACTGAATAAAAACTTGCACCCGATATATTAAGAAGCACATCCCACGTTAACAGCAACCAAACAATTAAAGAATTAAAATATTATTTGTATTCAGTTGAACAATTTAGTTTATTATTCGAATTTTATTATGACGTTGTACACAATAAAATTCCTTAATATACATGTTTATATGTTGAACAATTTATAATATAGGATCGGTAACGTATCGAAGTATTACGCGCAGGAGCTGTCGTATCGAATTTTAGGTGTTGACGCGGCGCAGTATAGAATTGAAAATTGAGTTGCGAGCAGGATCCCTATTACTTCGAATGAGGTGAAAAAGCTGCGCTGATCATTCCTTTTGTTAGCTGGTGATGTACACGCGCGGTGTTGTGGTGTGTTGTACTGTCCTATGTGATGTCATCTGGTGTGGTGTATTGGTGAGAATGTGGTCGGCATTATTAGGGTGCGCCAGTTTTACCGAGTAGAGTGGTGTGGTTATTTACTGAGGCTTAGCTCATTTAAACATATTGGGCCCCCTAGGCGAATATTTTGCCTAGTGTTGCACATATTTGCAGTAAACGTTCCAGGTATCCCGGCGTACTGCTGTTGGAGTAGCAGAGCGCGCGGTATGCATGATAATACAGTAGTGGTAGATCCATATTTACCTGTACGTGTAGGATGGAATTTTGATTTTGAAATGGGTATTATGTGTTTTGATTTGGAAGTTAGTGCGTTAAGCAAGAAACGTTGTTTTGCATTTATTCGATTGGTGGTTGTGACGACGTATTATTAGATGGTATAATTTTGTTTATTCATTTTATTTCCGGTTATCTACTATTACTTTATTATCGGCTTATAGGATGGCGACTCCACGCCTAGCTCAGATATGACCAGAATGGGTGGTCCTTTGAAACCTTTGAAGAGGGATATTGCGAGCGTAAGATTTGTGATTTACGACTACTTTTTAAGTATTACAAGTATTTCCCATAAACCACCAATACGAGGCGGGCTTAGATATATGCGATTAGAGCGACCTTTGCCATTGGGAGTAAGGAAATCGCTTAACTTTATTTTTAAATTGTTTTATATGATTATATTATGAAAAAGTAAGCTACTAGAGGACAATTTGTTATGTGTAAATTTTTCGACTTTTTTGGGACAATTTTGATATATGTTACAGTGCGTATGCACTTATTTGGCAAGTAGGAGCGCGCCACATATCTCAAGCTTTTGAATCAGGATATTTGTATCATTATTGGCAAGAGCCATCCTGCGGGGTCGAAAAGTTACATATTTGTGTTTTTAAAACTGATCTTGTCAGAAGGGACTCTGACTTTGTTTTTTCTGCCAATTCGTGCAGCGTTGGAACATTGTGAATTTAGTGGTAGTCGTATGACGTACTGACCATTATCTGATCTAGTAGTTGTGGCTTTGTAAAAGTCTTCACAATACTGATCTTCTGGAGTTGTAATTTATATAGGGGGGAGCTCTTCTAACTCCCAAAATTTCTTTAATTGTGAATTGAGGTATTCGTTTGAGATTTCCTCAACCTGAGTAGTCATGGTTGTAACTGGTTCCGTAACTAGTCCACTTAGGATCCAAACGAAAATAGTATTTTGTGCCAATAGTGTATTTGAAATTTTCTCAACACCTTCGAGTATTATCTGTGGTATGAGATCGCTGCCTAATAGAAAGTCTATTTGAGCGGGAGTGTTGCAGTTGGGATCTGTTAGCTTTAGGTGTGAAACCTTTTGCCAATGCTTGCTATTTATATGATAGCTTGGAAGCATATTTGTAAGTTGCGGTAAGACTATAGCTTCTGCTTTAATTCTCTTATTCGCTTGGGGGAAAATTAAGGTAATGGGGCATATTTTATTAAAGTTTTGCACTACTCTTCCGCCCATTCCTGTAATTTCAAAATTGGCTAGTTTTGTTGGCAGTTGTAGCCTATTTTGAGCCCTAGACGCTATGAAAGATCGTTGTGATCCTTGGTCTATTAAGGCCCTAAGTTTAAATAGCTCTCCTCGGTGTTCGATAGAGACGACTGCTGTGGGTAGTAGTACCCTACTTTGGTTTTCGCTGTGTAGCGTTTGAGTTTTTAATGCCTTTGAGCAACTTGGTGTCTTTTGGCAATTTTCGGGATTTGCTGTTGCAACTAAACCTGTGGTTCTTTTTGTATAAGCGCTTCTTTGGAGTAATATGGGAAATTTGCTGTAATGAAGCATTGAGTGGTGTCTTTTGTGACAATATAAGCAATTAAATTTGCTTTTACAATTTTTATACTTATGCGCATGTGAAAAGCAATTTGTACAAAGTCTTTTTGATCTTATAAAATTATTTCTTTCGGGAATTTTTAATTTTTTAAATATCTCGCAAGATTGTAGTTTATGCCCTCTCGTGCATAGTTCGCATGACGTATGATTGTTCTGTTCGGATGTGAACGATTGCGTTTCGTACAAGCTTCTGTTTTATTTGTTTTTGCTACTAGCTTGGGGTCTATTGAATCTTCTTTTTAAGTCGTGTTAAAGAATTTTTGTTTTAATTAGTTTTTTATCTACCCTTTCAGCGATTTCGTACTGGGTAGTCAGAAAGTCTTTCATTTGTTGCCACATGGGGCATTCCTTTCGTGATGAGAGCGATTGCTCCCACGTAAAGTAACGATTTTTTTGGTAATGCGGCGGTGCATATATTTACCAGTATAGGGTCCCAGCTGTTTGTGGGAATATTTTGTGTCGATAAAACCGACAAACAATTAGAAACAGTGGATTGTAGTCTAATAAATTTTTCACTTGTTTCATTTTGAATTTTAGGCAAGTTCATTAGTATCGTTACTTGCTTATGCACCAATATTCTTTCATTTTCGTACCTTGATTTAAGAGCTTCCCAAGCCAGATTAAAATTATCGTCATTTAGTGCGAACTGTTTTACTATTGCGCCTGCTTGGCTTTTTGTTTTGTATCAGAGGTGATACAATTTTTGCGCATTTGTTAATTTTGGGTGGTTTATGTAAACGGCTGTAAACATGTCCCGGAAGGACGGCCTTCTTCATAATCACCATGAAAGATTTCTGTATCACATGTGGGCACCTTGAGATGGATGCCTGAACTTACCTCATGACTTTGTACTTGTGGCAGCTCTACTTTTTACTATTTGGCGTAAGCCGAAGATTTGAAATTTTCTGGTAAATCTGAGTCGTCAGATTCTACAATTGCGTCATATGCAACTTGGAGACGTGACCAAAAATTGTCAAGATTGTCTTTTTTTGATTTCTAATACCGATTCAGAATTGTCCTGAATCGGCAAAGATGAGAATCTAGTGCAGTATATTATTAAACTGTCACTTTCCGAAATGAATTTTGTGTAAGAAATGTCTTTCCCCCTTTTTTGCTTTGAGCGTGTAGCTTCTGCAGGTGTACATGGACTTCTTTCGTCAGAAATCATTTTTGGAACTTTTAGCAACTGAGTTGTTTTAGTATCTTTCGAATCTGAGCTCAGTTAAGAGATGTGCCGAAATAAAATAAAATATTTTCAATGTAAGAAATATATGTATATTTGAAACCTCTTTTAAGAAAATAAGGGTTTTTGTTTATTGTTTTTGAAAAAATTAACAAATTAGTAACGTTTTTAAACTCGTATGAGTACCTAACTCTTTTATGATAATAAGAGTTTTTATTTAATGAAATGAATATATATATTACGCGTATTTCGTGTTTTATTGCTTTTTTTTTCTTTAATATTATTTAATTGATTAATATTAAATGCAAATGTTTTTTATTTTTACTTTTATTTGTATGTACTATGTGTCCGTAATTCCTATAGGGTATACCTATAAGCGTATCAGCTGATACATAAGTATGTACTTGTACAATGCAATTGAAAGCTCGTCTTAGAGATCAATGCACTTTGTACATATGTACATATGTATCTAAGTAATATATAATATTATGTTTAAATATTTTTGCGAAATCCTGCTTGTTTTTGTTGGTCAAAGAACAAGGGGTATTGCGAGTATATGCCAATGTGGACTTAGAATATTATTTGTATATATGCAATCCTACTTGTTTTGGTTTAACAAAGAACAAGGGGTATTGCGGAATATTTGCCAATGTGGACTTTGAAACGAAGTACTAATGTATGTTCGTATACCTGAGCGTGTATATATGTGCGCAGTGCGAAAAGAGCGCGAAAAGGAAAAAATATACCGCAGGTATTTTTGTAAACTGTATGTATATATGTATGGATATCAATTATTAGTATTATATGTATGTTTGTACGTTTTCATACATATGTCAATGCTTTAAACGGAGGTTTTCTCCCATTATAGTATGTATATATTTATATATGTTAAATATAATATGTATATGTATGTATCATAAATTGCATTAGCCTTTATGTATGTATGTTTAAATTTATTTTGTAAGTTTTCGCTTTTGTTGGTTTATTTATTTTTTTTTTTTTTTTGTATATAAGTATGTATTTTGAAATATACTCGGAATTGTGTCAGTTTGGTAACCGTTTTTTTATGCTGTTAAAACGGATTTTCTGTTACAGGTTCTATATTATAATATATGAAATTTGTAGGGTATAAGGTTTGTACATATATATATTCCTTTTGTGCCAATTCGTGTGTTTCTTCTCCAGCTGCTTACAGGTATGCAATTGTGGCGGCGGAACATCGCATCTGCATTTCGATCACTACTGCCTTTGGGATGTTCTATAAGGAGTCGTGATTTTTAAGTCTCTCAATCCACCGTGCCAACTGTTCTCCCCCGAAATCGCTTGCCATAAAGGAACTTATGAACTTTCTTTTTGAAAAGAAAAACCTCTTTCAAGTTCTTAAGGTGTTCATCGAAGCTTTTACCCCACACGATGATATCGTCGAAGTAAACCAAACATGCCTTTCAGTGCAATCCTTTTAATACTTGGTCCATAAGTCTCTCAAAGGTAGCAGGAGCAGTACATAATCCAAAGGTCATTACGGTAAATTTCCTATCTCCAACGCTGAAAGCCGTCATTTCCTTATGGTTCAATGAGTAACGAGTTTCAACACATCATCCCACACACATTCCACACCAACCAAACCACCACGAGCACACCACACCGAAGGAGGCAAAAAGGGGACGACGAGCGATCACCAGCTCTCTTGCGCAATGTCATCGTACGAATCGCTACCTCCGCTATCAACCGTCGTGACCTGTTAAATATTTAAAACTCTTTGCGAAATAAAAATGTGAAGTTATTTAAAAAACATAAAAAAAGGACAATTTGTTAATGAGTTATAATTCTTTGCGAAATAAAGTTGTGAAATTATTTAAAAAACATAAACATAAAAAATTTGTTAGTGAGCTTAAAGTAAAAAATTTACTATAAAGTAAAAAAGGTGAGTGCTAAGCAAGGTGACGCATAATTAAACAGCTTATCTTCTGTTTATCTTCACTTGCCAGTAACCACTTTTCAAAACAAGTGTTGAGAACCATTTTGTGCCTGATAACGAGTCTAGCGTGTCATCGATTCTATGTAGTGGATAACTGTCTTTCTTACATCATTGTTGCATAATTCAGCCTTGATGGTTCGATTACGCCGTATTCGCTCATTTCACGTATGGTCTGGCTTACAACTTCACGTTTTGCTAAAGGAACGCTTCGAGGAGCCTAACGGATTGATCTTGCATCACCTGTGTTAATAAAATGTTTCACAACCTTTCTTCTGTTTGGAATCGTCTTTATCAAATATGGATGAGTATCTGAGAAAAAGTTGTTTATCCTTATTTTGATAGTTTGAATCTAGTTCCTCGGTCCATGCGTTAATTTCGCTCGATATGTCGTTTTCGTCCATGGAATCTTCCGCAATACAGATTTCGCAATTTACCACCTTAATCTCTTGACACTGCTCTAATTTCGCTTTAGTTTAACGATTGGTTGGGTTTGACATTTGCTTGATCTTCCTCAGCTTTTGCGATTACGTCAAACTAGATTATTGGATTGTTAACAGCTGCGTGCAATATGGCCACACTTTTTCCGCAGTTGAAGCACTTAACGACACCACAATTTTTTTTTTTCAGTACTTTCTGCATCTTTTCTTCAACTTTTTCAAGTAATTGGCTCACCCACATGTGATCTTCTATTTCTATTTGATGAGCTTTGAACGTTCGATTGATAAGCAGAGATGCAGTTTCCTGTATCAGAGATAACGAAAGGTTTTCGCAAACGTCAGTTTTGGACATACTAACGCAGCAAAGCGTATAATGCCATCTCGAATTCCATTAACGAAGATCCGAACTTTCGTGTCCTCGATAAACTCCACAGATTTATGTGCGTAAGCTAAAACTCCTGCAGAAATTCATTGGCTTTCTGGCGACGATTTTCCAACTCGAGTTAGAAGATCTGCTTCCTGGACTCACTATCATACTACCTATCAACGCTTCATAACTACTAGACTCCCAGTTTGGAATAGTTTGTAATACCTCCGGTGTAGATTCATTTAATGTTTTTTTTTTCGAATTGAAACTTAAGAACATGGAACGGCACTGTGCCATCAAAAGATAGAGGTTGTACTTTGACAGAAGCTGGGGAAATAATTGGCCGATTTAATTGTAACTCGCGGAGATGACCTTGCAATTCCTCCACTTCAGTTTTAATTTTATCCCACTTTCAGTCTAAATAAAAATTGTTGGGCATTTAAATGCACCCAACATTTATTAAAATTAAAATTTTTTATATATACCTAAATATATCCGTTTAACACATGGAGAAACTATTTAAATCTTTTTTTGTGATTTTGTGATATATTAAAACAACTGATTTAAAAATTTTATTATTAATTATTATTAGTATTAGCTCTCAATTAAGAAGTGTCTTTTATAATTTTAAATTGAAAATTTATACTATTAAGCATGACATTACAAAAGATTTCATCACATACATTTCAATTCAGCGTTTTCTTTAATTTTAATTTTTTCCAATTTTGTTAGTGATCTTCAACAGCGGCAACGAATCTCTCTTTTCTAATTGCTAACTTTGTCAGTTGCCTAAGTTCAGGAGGTTTTGAGGTTTAGCAATTGCTTTCTCATTTCCATTTAGAGATGAGTTTGGCATCTCTTTATCAAGGATGACATGATACGAGACTCTCTCATTTTCCCTAATTTTTTTTTTCATTCTCTTTCCCTGCAAATATCGAAAAAGCGAAATATTTAAGCGAAGTTGTAACAGCGATAATATACAAAGGGCCGAGTAATGATGCTATGTGTGGTCAGTTATTAGACTAACTTTATTCGCAAAATTCTTCTCCTTAAATAATATTCTAAGCAATATTGCAATACCGTTCAATACATAATGCTAAGTACATAGTTTCGTTTTCTATTAGTGCATATATACATAAGTATGTAAGTTATATAAAAAACAGTTCATAAAAGGAGAATAACCCAAGTACATACTTTACTCTATTGCTCCTTCGTATATAATTTAGTTATTAACAAAAGAGAAATATAAAAAAATGGGAACGCAGCATTGCAAGAGGCTGCTTACACATTAAGCTTCATGTTAAATGGGACTAGCTAATGTGCACAAACAAATATTCATATAATTGCGTGGACGAAAACATAGCGGTAGCATAAGTGTACAAAGCAAGCGCAAGCAAGCAATAAATATGTAAGTATGTATACAATGCAAATACAATTATTAACTGCATTGCGGTGAATGACTTCTAATGCTTGCTCTTCACTATTAGGCAAATAAGTACAGAACAAGAAATAGGAAAAATATATAGAACATATGACCGTATAATGCATTGGTTCTCAATCGGTGACCCAACATCCCGGCCCCGTTGAAAGGCATTTCAAACAGGTAGAAGGGCTAGCTTGTGAATTGGTCGCCGAATGATTCCCTTCGTTGTTCGAATGTCCACCACACGCATTTTAGAGTCCTTTTCTGGGATACAGTTTATAACTCTTCCAATATGCCATTTTTATGGTGGTAAATTGTCTTCATGGATGATAACCATTGAGTTGTTGTTGATGTTTGGTCGCTCTGTAAACCACTTTGATCGTACTTGAAGTTCGTTTATGTATTCATTTGACCACCTGTTCCAAAACATCTTTTTAATGCTTGTGACCTGATTCCATCGTTGTACGTTGCTGATGTTAGCTGACAATCTCCGCTCTGGGAGTGCCCTAAGTGAATTACCAATAATAAAATGCCCCGGAGTTAATACTTCATAATCATTTGGATCCGATGACATTGGTGTTATTGGACGAGAATTTAATACAGATTCTATCTCAACCAGGACTGTTGTTAGTTCCTCAGCTGTGAGTCTTGCATTTTTGATGGTGCGGTTGGGGTGACCCTTAGCCGATTTGACTGCTGCCTCCCAAATACCACCGAAATGAGGTGCACTTGGAGGAATAAAATTGAAATTTATAAATTCATTAGCACAATATTTTATAATTTCATCTTTGTTTTCGGTTTTAAATAAAAATGACTTAAATTCAGCTAGTTTGTTGCAAGCTCAAAATTTGTTGCGTTATCGCAAAAGATGTCAGAGGGTACACCTCTTCTTCCAATCATGCGCTTCAATGACGCTAAGAAAGCGTCCGTGGATAGATCCGATACTAGTTTGATGTGAACCGCCTTTGTCGCTAGACAAACGAAGATCCCAATGTACGCTTTATAAGGTGTTTTGCCTCGAATACTCAAATATATGTTGACTGGTCCGCAGAAATCAATACCGCACCGCGCAAAAGGACGAGATGGAGTTAAACGCTCGACAGGTAACTGTCCCATTACTTTTTTCATCAGCTTTGGCTTGTAGCGTATACAATGTGTGCACGATCTGAGGATACGTGTTGCTAAATCGCGCGCATTGACTATCCAAATCTAAAGTCTTATCAGTGCTACGAGTGCCTTTGGTCCTACATGGTAGTGTTTCCGATGTAAATGACGAACGTAATGCACAACAAATTCGCATTTGTTTGGCAACAGCATTGGGTGTTTCCTTTCTTCTGGAATATCTACTGATTCCAATCGACCTCCAACTTTGAGTATTTGAAATCCTTCTATTTACTCGAGAAAAGGATTTAAATAACGTAACGGGCCATTTATCGTAAGCTCTTTCTGTAAAAGATGAATTTCATTAGCGAAATGTATGTGTTGAATATTCCAAATTATGCAAAGAGAGGCGTGATGTAACTCTTGTGGTGAAAGTAATAATGAGTCATTGAGATTAGATCCATGTCGAAATTTATTGATGAAGCGGAACATCCAAGCTATTAATCGAAGGCTGCTGGTGTAGTTACTCCGCTGATTCACAATTTCCAAAATGTAATTGGTGCTAACAATTATATTGAATGCTGATTTTCGATTCTCTCTATCGACAACTTCCATGTCGATATCATCGCAGCTGTTCTTTGGCCATTTATCTGAGTTTTCGTATAGAAACTTTGGTCCGGTGTACCATATTGAATTAACAAGTTCCTTTACAGTACATCCTCTAGAGGCAACATCCGCCGGGTTACAATGCTTTGGTACATGTCTCCAATGAGCGCCTTTGGTTAAATCTTGAATTTCCGAAATTCGATTACCAACACAAGTCGAAAGTGTTGCAGAATGCATTTTAAGCCAATATAATACTATTTGTGAGTCTGTCCAAGGAAAAATATTCAAAGATTTGTTAGAAATTGTTGGTTTAATTTTTGCTAAAAGACGAGCAAGAAGAAGAGCGCTGAAAGTTCTAATTTGGGTAACGATTGTTTTTTGGTGGGTGCCACTATGGACTTTGCAGTGAGTAGGCGAATGGTACTAGTAGTGCCACATTTGTTGAGAACGTGAGTATATATTGCGCAGCCATATGCACGAATCGATGCGTCACAAAATCCATATATCTGATAAGCAGTTAAGAAATTTTTTCCAAGCAAATTCGATGTTCTGTGGCACAGATTTATCCCAATCCAACTTTAGTAGCCATATTTCTTGCAACAAAATTTTTTATGTTAATAACATAAACTAAAAGTCCAAGTGGGTCGTAAAGTGATGATGCAACAGAAAGGATGGAACGTTTTGTAAGTCGACCAGTCAGTGCTAGTTTGGCTTCGAATGAAAAAATAAAACAATCAAGATTTTGGTTCCATTTTAGTCCAAGTGTACTAGTGATGGATATATCTACGTTTAGATCCTTTATAGAGTCGTCTTCTGATTGATGATAATTGGAATGCGACTTTGTTAATTTAAACTGTCCTAATTCTAACAGTTGTATTATCTGTGCAAGTTCGGTTAGAGTATCAGCACCACAGAGTAGGTCGTCTACGTAGAATGATGACTTCACGATTTTTGAGCCAATTGTAAATTGTTCTGAATGCTGTTCAGCTAGATATAACAAACTCCGTATAGCAAGATATGGTGCAGCAGCCATTCCATACGTTACAGTATTTAGTTGATACGTGCGAATATCTTCAGTTGGTGAACTCCTCCGCAGAATATACTGGAAATTTCGATCATCTTCGTGCATTAATACTTGGCGATACATCTTGACTATGTCGGCAGTGAGTGCAAACCTGTGGAATCGAAAACGAATAAGAAGAAGAAAAAGTTCGCATTGAATTGTAGGGCCAACCATCTGAATATCGTTTAATGATTTTTGGGATGTGGTTCGACAGGAAGCGTCAAATACAACTCGAAGCTTTGTTGTCTTACTTGTTGGTTTTAGCACAGAATGATGTGGCATATAATAATGCGGTTCGCTAAAATTTGGATTTTTTACAACGCTCATATGACCCAAACTCTCGTAGTCGCTCATAAATTCAACGTAGTGTGCTTTCAATTGTGGTGATTTGGCTAATCGACGTTCTTGTGCAGTAAATCGTCTCAATGCCGTAGTATATGACTCGCCCAAACATGTCGGATCATCCTTGAAAGGTAATTTGACAACTATTCTGCCGCTAGGTCTTCTTGACACAGTTGAATTATGTATGTGATCGCAACTCTGTTGTTCACGAGTCCAAGGCTCTAGTATGATAGTGATTTCTTCCAATCTCCACAACTTTTCCAATTTGGCATCTAAAGATTCATTGGCTAAAAATAAACAAGATGGTTTGGATAAGCTGTTACTGCCCTTCTTATAGCGTCCCGAAACAATCCAGCCTAAGAGTGTTTTTTGCAAGATTGGTAAATTAGATCCAAGATTGATTTGTCCTACAGATAGAAGACTGAAGAACGTTTCTGTACCCAGCAACATGTCGATTTTCTTTGGTATATAAAATTCATCATCAGCGAGCGCTATATTGTGTAATATTCCATGTTGAAATATTGATTTCAGGATCTGGTTGATAAGCAATGTGCGATGTAATACAAAAAGTCAATGGAAGTTAGAAACCAGTGACTTGCGACTTTATATTAGTTGAGGTTTTGAATTTAATATTTGTTGACGATGAACCGATGCTTTGAATCTGTATGTTTTGCTTACTTCTTGGCAGAAACAACTTTTGCGAAAAATCATCTGTGATAAGATTTACCTGTAAACAGGAATCTAGCAATGCTGTACCCAATCTGTAGCTCCCCGATGCATCACGAACGAAAATTTTTGCTGTTGCAAAGATGACGTTATCCAACGACGAATTATTCCTGTGTGTATGCGCGACTGCCTCTTGTGTTGTAAATACCTGAGTAGGTGTTTGTTGGACTGGGGTAGAACCGCGGTGGAGTAAACTGTGATTTTGTCGTGCACAAACCTTGCACCTGTGTGATGATGGACAATTCGCTACTCTATGTCCCTTTGATAGGCAATTGATGCAAAGTCCAATTTTCTCTGCATGGTCGAAACGTTGAGTAATGTTTAGTGACTTAAAGCGTTCGCAATTTAAAACCTTATGGTTGTTACTGGAACAGAAATTACACGATATGTTGAAACATGAAAATGTATAGCCTCGTGGTTGATTCCTTGATTTCGAAGATAAATATTTGTTAGCACCTTGAGTTGACGACGTACAACATGCGTGTTGTCCAGTGAATCCAGGTATTGGCAGTGTCTTCCCAAAACTGCGATGCAATTCTTCCATGACGGTAGCGTTCTAAAATCTAGCGACTCCACTCACTTTTTGTTGGTCTGTTCATCAGACTTCTCCAAAATTAAATGAATAAGCATAGCTTGCGATATTTGGCTGTCGCTACCTAGCGATGTCAAGGTACCATAAATAGCTGAAGCTTTATCAAATAAACATCTTAGCTGAATGTCATTTGGTTTCATAACTGCATTTATTCCTTCCAAAAAAATTAGTGTTTTGTTATCATACCGTACCTTCAACTGTTCTAACGCCTTCGGGTAGTTTTCATTTGGCACTTGAAACGCACTTACAGTTTCTAAGGCTTGACCTTGGAGACAATTTCGCAAATGGTTGAATTTTTCAATATTAGTTAAATTGAATTCACGATCAATTATTTGCTTGAACGAGGTGATAAAATTTTGATAATTCGAATACTTGCCATCAAACGTAGGAAGCTTAAGTGGTGGAAGTTTTGAACTTGATTGTACCACGCAAGTTGTGTCCGAAAGTGAAACGTTGTTATCTTCTGCCAATTGCGATTGGATAACCAATTTAATTGTGATGTAAAGTTCTTCCAGGTCAGCACGTCCACCATCATCAGCATCTAATCTTTCGATGTCAGTTTGATTTGAGAGAATCTGCTTAAAATAGGACTCCAGGATGCCCAAACGGCATTTGTATTCCGCAGCTGAAAGAGCCTTTCCACCTGGTCGCAAGCTGGTGTAATATTTTTCTTGGTGCTGGCGCGTTGTTGTCGCTCGTTTAAAGACATTGCAGAACAGGATTTTATATATACTTTATAGAGACTTCAAAATTTTAAATAATAATATTTCTACTCCTAGTGAGTAGTTAAGCAATAAGTGATTAGTTAATTTCACCGCAAAATTTATAAAATCAAGTTATACTTATGTATGGGTATGCAACGAAAATGCGAATATGAGCTACAGGCAATGGTAACGACGAGGCTTAGCGGTGACAAACTGGTGTGCTGTGCTTTGTGCGAGCAATGCTGGTGACTCCAATGTAAAGATGTCCAATGGTGACGTAATTTCCAATGACAAAATATCCAATGACGATAATGTCCAGCGACGATAAGTCCAACGATGCAGTCTAATACTGACCACACTCCGAAATGATTTGCAAAGAACAAAAACTCACTCGTGCCGCACGTTGGGCGCCAAAAATGTAGTACACAGCTTTTTGTAGCCGCGCAAATATCGAGAAAAGCGAAGTTGTAACAGCGATAAAATACAAAGGCCGAGTAATGATGCTATGTGGTCAGTTATTAGACTAACTTATCGCAATATTCTTCTTCTTAAATAATATTCTAAGCAATATTGCAATACCGTTCAATACATAATGCTAAGTACATAGTTTCGTTTTCTATTAGTGCATATATACATAAGTATGGAAGTTACATAAAAACAGTTCACAAAGGAGATACTCCAAGTATATACTTTACTCTATTGCTCCTTCGTATATAGTTAGTTATTAACAAAAGAGAATATAAAAATGGGAACGCAGCATTGCAAGAGGCTGCTTACATATTCAGCTTACTACATGTAAATGGGACTAGCTAATGTGCATAAACAATATTCATATAATTGCTGGACGAAAACATAGCGGTAGCATAAGTGTACAAAGCAAGCGCAAGCAAGTTTCAAATTTCTGAAGAGGTAGTAGTGGCTGGAGCCAATCTGAATGAAATGATACGGTGGATGCTTCAGCAATTCGTATTTTAATTCGTTAAATTTGAGTTCGTTTTGTCATGTTAAAACACCTGAGCAGGTGCATTATCTTGATGACAAATGATTTTTTGTGTGCATACCAGGTCTTTTCTCACGAATTTTTCACCCGCTGATCCAAAAGACTGCAATAATATTCAGAGTTGATTGTTTTACCTTTCTGCATATAATCAATTAACAAAATTCCTATTGAATCCAAAAAGTGATGCCATAACCTTCTTTGCTGATCGTTGTGACCTCACCTGCTTTGTAGCTGAACAAACAGCTTCAGTCCATTGTAGACGTTTTTGTTTCAATTTAGGATTATGTGGTAGATCCAACTCTCATCCGTACTTATAAACACGCAAGAAATCGGTTTTATTCTGCTTAAAATGCTCCAGACCATGCTGATAAATTGTTTTCGATTCAGTTTATGTTGAATTGTTAACTTGTGCGGCACTAACTTTTTATATGTAAATCTGCAGGTAAAATATAAAGTACTTGTTCGTATGAGATTCCTGTGGCATTAGCAGTTTCACGTTTAGTCAAACTTGTATCTTCACTTACAATATTATGAACTTGCTCAATGATTTCTGGTGTAGTTGTGGTTTTGGATCGTCCTTTGCGTGTTTAAATTCAGATAAGGACTCCTATATTACACTTCTAATAATTTTTCATAAATTTCTTTTGCTTTTAAACCATTTAAAGCAAAGAATCTATTCACTGCGCATATATACAATGTTTTCCATATTAAAAATACTCTGACACGCAAACTTCAAACATTGTAAACAAGAATTAATTAACAGAATGACTTGTAACTTTGCAGTGTTTTCACGACAGATAAGAACCAACTTGAGAATAAACTTTGGAGCTAGTATTCTTGGTGAGAGCATAAACTTTTAACTAACCTGTATATATTATTTATTGGAATTGAAAGTGGAAGATTTCTTCATCTTAACATAAAATCTTTTGTTTAGTTTGAAAAGTTCATCAGATTTTAATTTTAACATTTTGTTTGTTACCTTAATAATAATAATGTAATGTGCTCTTATAAGAAATGTGTACAAACATGAAAAATTTTAACAAATACAAAAGAAATTTCTTTTATTCACTCTAAATATTTGCAAATTTTGATGGAAATTTTCATGCTGAACTTCAGTTCTTAAATTATAAAATTATTTTCCTATTAGTATAACTATTGTAAATATTAAAATTTAACAATTAATATTAACTATCTATGAGCCACTATAAGCTTTTAAAAATATAATGTAATTAAAAGAAAAATTTAGTTTGTAATGAATATATTGTAACGGATTCTATATTCGTCTACCTATAACTCACTCTTGTGTTCGATCACTGGATTGTTAAACAAAGTCTCAATTTAATGGCTGCACAATTCGGCAGCCCTTATATAGTAGATTGCTAAGGAATCTTCGCTACTCGACGTTGAAAATTCGGATATGAGTAGTAAAACGTTAAGTTGTTTTGATCAGAGTTCCAGAGATCCAGTTATAGGAAGCCGATTTATGGAGAAATCCGCTTTTACTTTTTGCTACTCGAAAATTCTTGCAACTACGAATTTCGCTATCTAGTTGTTTCTGTAATCTGATCGTCCCGACTAGATATATGTGTGGTACCAAACGCTGCAAGCCTTCCAGATGAACTACCTTTATTTTATTCCTTGGTCTTCCAATGTCTGTATGGATACACAATATCATTGAGTCGTTTAATAACTTGGTATGGTCCTTCCCATTTACACTATAATTTGGGAAATAGCCCTTTCTTTCGTTGTGGGTTATATAAAAATACCTAATCTTCTTCAATAAAACCCTCAGATTCATTGCTTATCATTTTGCTTTCATTTTATCGCTCATAATGTCGTCTAGGATGCTGTTGACTTCTTAGCATTGCTTCCTCCCATGACGTTAATTCCAAATTTCAAATCAATCGGTGAGTCAAAGATCATTACCAAAATTACCCTTTCTAGAGTCTGCCCTGTTGTTCTATGAACGGCAAACCAATAAGCCATTAGGAACAAGGATATATGGACAATATTTTTGTTACTGTCCACACTTTCCTCAAATGTTCTTCCAAAGTTCGATTGAATCGTCTACCATGCCATCGGACTGCGAATGTAGTGCAGATTACGGAGTTTCCGAATACCAATCTGGCACATCAGAATGCACCCAAATTGTACTGCTTCATCTGACCGTGACTCCTGGACCTCGGTCCTTTAACAGCAATAGGCGATCCACTTCGTAACTGATTAACGACAACCAATTCAAAAATCTTTGTTTTAATTCTTACAAAGTTTAGTGATAGCCATGTATCCTCCACTTGACAGTTGTGCAGTTCGTAAGAGCTTCGGAATTCTTACTTCGCAACAATCATCAGAGCTCGGGTGCTTTGCCCATTTTTCTTTCCATTGTGGCGGCGGAACATCGCATCGAAAAATAAAATAATAAGAGAATTAACCGCAAATACAGGAACCATAATGGTTGATGAACAATAATAAATATTTAGTTTCCTTCACTTAATAAACCCTGGTGTTGGTCTGATTATTTCTTTTTAAAGCGCGGCTGAAGGCCGCCAACGCAAAAATAATCTCTGCGTGAAAAACTTGGGACACCCGGTGTTGGACCGACCAGGGTTATTTTTGGAGACCGCCGAAAGCCCCAACGCAAAACGGATTTCTACAAGAAAGTAAATTGTCATAGAGGGTATAACATAATCCTTAACATCAATGCTCTCTAATAGTTTTTTTTCTAGGTTTGGATTCCTGTATTGGGGTATTATCTGTTTTCATTTCTTTCAGTTCATTTACAGAAGATATCGATAAGGTAACACTGGTTATTTGACATTTTGTTATTGTCAGAATTAATAGAATTTAACAATAATGTAAATATTAAATTAAACTATTTTTGATAATGTAGAATTAATGTGTACAAACGAATAGTGAAATGTTAGTGGATATAAAAGTAAAAATAAGTGTATAATTCATTTTAAATCGAAAAAATGCGTACTTTATTAAATAGTGGAAATTTTCAACTTTAAACGTAAATATTTCGAAAACTATAAGTTTTCGGAGGCTATATATATTACTGATCTAAAGATCTACTTTATCCGCCCATACCCATTTATCCCCGAAAGCTGGACGGTATACTAAAGTTTTCCCAAATTGAAGAATGATTTAAATATTGAAATAAAGTTATTTTTGCATTATTTAATATAAAAATGTATAAAATTAATTAGTAAAGTGTTAGTGGAACAAAAGTGAAAAATATAAGTGTATAATTAATTTTAAATTGTAAACGTAATAATCTCGAAAACTATAAGTTTCCCGCGGATCTATATATATTCTTAATCTGGATGATCTCCTCTATCCCTGGACGGTATTCTAAAGCCGACTAAATAATATATGGAAACAATGTATTGAAGTGTAAGTGAATTATGAGTGCATAATAAACATATATAATATAAAAACAATTAACTATAAATCAATAAATGCGAATATGTCGAAACGTATATGTTTCCGATTAGAATTAAATTTAGTTATTTTCTTCGCTCTAAATTAAACGATCTGAAATTTTGCCGCCATAAGCCTGGGCATAAGCTGAAGCCGTGTTTCACAGTAAACCGGAGATTGCCGAGGCCAACTAATAATGTAGCGTACTAATATTGTTGTCCTGAGCCATTTGCGAGATGCCCTTGCAATATGTTTCGGATCATTGTGAATAGCTGTGAATAACCTCAATATAAGACTTTGCCGTCATTCTTCTCTCGAATTTCCCAACCTACCAACATCATTGGTCGTCATGCCTTCCAAACTTCAAACTTCAGCGTAGGCTAACGTGGTGTACCTTCTCTTCTCCAGGCTAAATTTAGCGATAACTCACACCATCATTCAATAATGTTTTGATCTCGTCTTTAACTCCATCGGAGATAACCATAATTTCTTCCCATGTCTACCAAATATATCAACAACAATAGCGACGAAGAAACGTTACCTCGTTACGTTATTCACGCAAAAGTCTCAAATTGATCACACCTGCCTTCGCGCATCGTTTAAATACTACTAGAATGTTTTCTGCCGTTACAACAACAAGAATTATCACAACCACGCTTACTGACCATATGACACTGTTTTAAATTTCATCTGATTATTTCATTTTACAGTATATAAGTAAAGCACCAACGAAGCCATCGAAATTAAACGTTGCCCAAATAGTGTCTTTAAGTATACCGCCTCACGTCTAAAAATTATAGAAATCGGACACTAACATTTCAAGCCCCAGCTACCGAATACCGTGAATATTTTCCACCTTTATAAAAATATCTTAAATATGTACTTCAAATTGATTTTGTTGATGTGTTTGTCTCTTGAATCTAAAATACCGACTTAAACATAATTTAGTGCGACTTTAGCAATTTTTCACATAAATACTTACAAATGCCCCATTTTTATCAACGAGATTTTGACAAATATTCTCGGTTTTGCACGAAATTTCAATGATTTCGAAATTAGTTCATCTATAGTCACGGAATGTATTTTATCGAGTCGGTAAAAAGTACTATTTCACTGAAAATTGTTTCGATACGGCTTCAATGACTTAAACGTAATTCTTTCGATCGAATAGGTAAGTTTTCAATCAGGGTGTTGTAGAATCTGATAGTTGTCGGAATAGAATTGGAACCGATAAAAATTTACTAGGTGCCATGAATTCAGATATTATTGGTTTGATGTTCGAAACAGAAATTGTATCGGTTTTGGATGTCATGAAACCAATTTATCGGTTTTGTTATCAGAAACAAATCAAGAAGATAGTCGCTGACAGAATTAAATGTAAGTTAAGAAATTAATGTATTTATTGGTACGAATTGCCGTATCCCTATTTCTATAGGAAACACATAAGAATATACACACAGTGCCACAATTATTGAGTTTATGGAAAAATTAAGATATTTTGAAAGGATTACAAAAAGTAATTAACACCATAAAAAGGCATGTTTATTCAGGCGATAATATAAATTTGTAAAGTAATACCATGTTCCGACCTACACTAATCAGGGATTTAGGCTGTTGCGTAAATTATCTCACTAATCTACTAGATTTAGTAAAATTTCGTTATAAGAAAAATAACACCAAATGGCTAATCTATTTGAAACCTCCCTGTGCGACTCCGATTTAGAGCCATCTGTTTGTCAGTACAGAAATTTATCACATTTTCGCAGCTGATAAACACTACAAATTGTCAAAGTTAAAAATATTGTAACGGATTCTCTATAAATCGTCTACCAAGCAACTCACTCTGAGTTCGATCGCTGGATATTAAATCAAAGTCCCAATTTAATGGATATGCACCTTTCTTTATTTGTAATTTAAATAACATAACTCTTATTAATCGTTGTTTCAAGTTTACAACTTATTGCTTATAGCTCTTTACAAGCAGCACAGTGTCTGTTGCACAATCCGCAGCCTTTATATAGTAGTTTGTTAACTAAACTTCACCACTCCAACATTCTGGCAACTACGAATTTAGCTTATGGTGGATTCTGGCAATTTACATAGATTCTATTTTGTTCTGGCATTCGTGTTCCAAAAATGAGAGTAATTGAAATGAGCTGCTGAAGCCGATCTACTAGAGTGTAGCGAAAAAAGTGCCACAGCTTCGATCGGTTAGTCAAACCAGATGTATAAATCTCCAACGGCAGTGAAACAGTCTTGATTAGTGAATAGATTATATAATGGAGTACTGTGATCTCCTAAAATCGTGTTTATTATTTTCATTGCTTGGGTGGGCTTTAGTTTAGCATCCCACGATTTCAGGTTAAGAGGCGTATGGTTGGATAGAGGAGATTCTCCAGATCACGAATATATATAATTATTGCCGCCGCGAAACTTATAGTTTTCGAGATATTTGCATTTTAGTTGAAATTTCACAAAATTCATTTACAATTTCTCGATTTATGGTATTATCTTATATTATGCACTTATTATACACTAACTTTTCACTTCAGTGTTTCTACATATTTATTTATATTAAATATTTAAGTATTTGCTTTAATTAAGCATTTAATTTTACACAATTTCGTAATATGAACAATAACAAATGGGTTCCATGTTGTCAGATAATAAGTGTTGCCAATCTATTATATATATATATATATATATATATAAATATATATTTTGAAAGCGAATTAAAATGAACAAAAAAGAGGATTATACCCCAAATACATGAACTATTATTTTGTTCATTCCCTTCTATTGATAAATTATGGTATTGGATTGCCAGGGTTATTTTTAAAGCGCGGCCGAAGGCTCCAGTGCGGAAAGAAGTTTGACGCGATTAAATTATAACACCCCGGTGTTGGACCGACCAGGGTTATTTTTGAAGCGCGGCCGAAGGCCGCCAGTGCTGAAAGAAGTTTGACGCGATTGAATTATGAACACCCCGTGTTGGACCGACCAGGGTTATTTTTGAAGCGCAACCGAAGGCCGCCAGTGCAGAAAGGAGTTTGACGCGATTGAATTATCAACACCCCGGTGTTGGACCGACCGGTTATTTTTGAAGGCGGCCGAAGGCCGCCAGTGCAGAAAGAGTTTGACGCGATTGAATTATGAACACCCCGGTGTTGGACCGACCAAGGTATTTTTTTGAACGCGAAGGCGCCAGTGCAAATAAAAATTCTTTACAAAAAGCAATGTTAAAGAGATATATAACTCTCTATAAACTTCAATTTTATTAAGGATAATTATAATAACAGTGAAATGAAATTTGATACATGAATACATATGGCGTAAAAATATAGTAAATCAGCATCATGATCCATTTGTGAAATTATCAGATGCAATAAAACATACGCCATAAAACCTTTTCTTTATTAAAATGGAAAATTAAGTTCATAAATATTTTGTAGAGGGTAATTGGGTTTTATTTATTTTCATTGCTTCATCCGTTTGAGTATGGCAACACTTATTATCTGACAACATGGAACCCATTTGTTATTGTTCATATTACGAAAATGTGTAAAATTAAATGCTTATTTAAAGCAAATACTTGAATATTTAATATAAAATAAATATGTAGAAACATTGTAGTGAAGTGTTACTGTGTATAAGTGCATAATATAAAAGAAAGATAACCATAAATCGAGAAATTGTAAAATGAAATTTGTGAATATTTCAACTTAAAATGCAAATATCTCGAAAACTAAAGTTTCCGGCGGCAATAATTATATATATTCGAGATCTGGAGAATCTCCTCTATCCAACCATACCCTTTTAACCCTGAAATCGTGGGACTAAACTAAAGTTTTCCCCATTGCTTTCTTCATCCAATAAAAATTGCTTTCACACATTTATTCATTCATTCAGCAAACAGCTAATTCCAATATTGGTTTTGCCTTTTAAAACCAGAATTGATTGGCAATTCTGACAACTAAGCAAATTTGTCTTGATTCCACAACACCCTGATTGATAAATAGATAAAGATCGGGTCAATACTTCCTAGACTCCATTGCACGTAATTAAAAAAAATGTAAATGCATAGTAACCAACTAAGGAGACCTCAAAATGATTTTTAATTGTCTAATTTTTACGCGTAGATTACAATCCGTGAACGGAAAGTGAATTTTGCATAATTTATGTATTTTTTCAAAATTTATTTAACACACTTTGCACATATCACATATTCAAATCACTTAGTTGTTGTTGTAGCGGAAAATTCTGTAGAATTCAGATCTTTAGCTGTATTACCAGTTCACCGTATTAAACATTTTCTTATAAAAGAAATTACTGAGAATATAACAGTCACAATTTCTTTTGCGCCGCGATCTGATGGTATGGACCAATTCGAGATCGCCGAACTCCTTTCCGTACTGACGGCCTTCGGTCGCGCTTCAAAAATAACCCTGATCGGTCCAAAATCGGGGTGTTCATAATTCAAAGTGAACTCACAAAATTTAGTCAAAAATGTTCGAAAACTTACATTAGTTTATTACCTAAGGTTGACACAATCAGTCAATATTTTCACAGGCGCAATATACGATGGGGTATGGATGAAGTATTTTCGACTCTAGCTGACTTTATGATATTCAATGAAATTAAGTGGACATTACACAAATATAATGTACTTAGTGCTGAATATGAATGAAATCGGTCTTAACCTTGTTCTAGAGATATGAGTCCTTAACATTAATAAATTAAACCCCTTTGGTTAGTTATACATACATATATCATATGAGATGTATTCGAGTAATTAGGTTGATCTTAATATAAAGATTTTGGTCCCGAAGCAAAATGTAGTAATAAGACTAAGTGAAATAGACCTACAGATAATTTAATAAGATACCAAATATTATTTAATCTATTCACAGTTTGACGATAATGAATTTGCAATTCTTTAATATACAATTATTTGTTAGAATC